GTATTATGGGACAGAAACTAGGTTCAACAACTCTAGCACTTGAACCTGTCCCAAGAACAAAACAATTCACAAATAATTAAACTAGGACATTAACTAGACATAACCATGCTAGTAAACTCCTAGAACAGACCACACACAACCAGAAACAATTTAAACAATTATTAAGTATACTGGGACAGAAACTAGGTTCAACAACTCTGCAACTTTAAACTGTCCCTAAGATACTAAACACACCACTCAACACAACCAGACATAAAGACACAAGCTTTACTCAAGGGAAAGAGGTTTAGCTTACAACCAAGAAACCTGAGCTGGTTCCTTGAACCTCCAAGGCACATGGTTCACTTGAACTTGGTAGATTTGGATTTTGGGTTCTCTACCCAACTCCATATTCTTGTGTGTGCTTTCCCTTTGAACCACTCATGCTTAAGGCCCCTCCTTTCTTCCTGATTACCAGGCGCCACCTTCTGGAACAGAGTGAGAGACACCATCTTGGGAAGAACATGAAAATGGCTTGTACAGATTTGGTTTGGAGTATTGCTTGTCAAACAGCTCCAAAACCTTCTTTCTCCAAGAGAACTCTTCATGCTGAACAGGAGAAAGGATGATAGAACTTGGGAAGTCTCTGAGCACGCCATGGTTGAAGTCTTCTTCCTCTTGAAGAGACTGAACAGCCAATAAGACAGAAACACCTCCAATAGTCTGAATAGCAATGAGGGTGAGCTTGTGCTGGATTTGCGGAAGCTTTGTGATTTCAGGAGCTTGGGAGCTCTGATACCATGTGAGAAATTATAGTTTAGGATGTAAGAGTAAGGAGAAACAGAGTATGGGCGTATGTAGTGATGAAGAGAGTAAAGAGACTTGTGTGAGAATCAAAGAGAGAGTAAAGGAGATTAAGAGAGTATGAGAGTTTCAATGAGTATTTGGGTGAGAGATTAAGTGAGTCTGTGTAATCAGAGAGAGTATGGACGAGATTGAGAGAGTAAAGAGTATGGAGAGAGTGAAGTAACAAGAGAATTGAAGAGAGAGAGAGAACTCCTCTCTGCCTTAAGGTTCAGCAATACACATGGAGTGGCTTTATAGCCAAATTACAAGTTGTAAGAG